AAATATCCATGTCGAATGATATACTTCAGTTTGCAGCTTCAATTTCGCTCATGACATTTTTCCAAACCTTCTCGCCTGCGGCTCAAACGTTTTGATACACGATGCCATTTTTCGAAATTATTGGGCAACAAGCTGTCGTTACAATCGCCAAATATTTTCGGCAATTAGTATCACGTGTGGTATCACATTTGAAAAAAAAATATCCACCTCTGAAGAATTGTATATCTGATATTATTGGCAGAACTTTTAATAAATGCCTAAAGATTGTTTTTCCTGAAATTGACAACGAAAGAGTTCCCCATTTGTTCTTTTTCAGACATACTCAATATAACGTTATAACGTACCAAAATACCTTTTGACCGAAAAAAGAAATGACAGAGCCGAATCGAAATTTTAGTCTCGGAACCGTAACCGAATCGGAACCTAAATTTCCTATTCCTCCTTGGACCCGAAGTCCCAAACCCGAACCGTTACCTCATTCGAGATCGGGTCCTTAGGCACATCAACGTTGTCTCAGCGTTTTAAAAAATGAAGATTATTTCTTGGCATTCTGTTGATGTCGTAAAATGAGAAGTAGAATTTGACATTCGAGGTTAAGTTTGTGTATGGCGATCATTTCCATTATTTTCATGTGTGGCCTCTGATCTGTTATTAGGTGGTAAATATTGTATTTTGTTTCATCACATTACATATCTTCATATATCTTCCATATATTTTCCTAATCAGCTCAATCTGTCTTTTCAAAATCAATATGCCGGGAAGACCTACTAAGTTTCCAGTACTAAAATTAGCTGAATTTCTCAATGAACATTATTCTCATTTATCTTTCAATAGTTTCCAAAAGCTCGAAATCAATAATGAAATCATCAGAGCATCTGCAGAGCACTTGTTTGCAAAAGTCACATATAGAACTCGTTCTAAAATTCTTCTGGCTCTTCACCGTAACACCGGAAATATTCAAGAACTACTGAAGTGCAATCATCACAGTAATATATTCAAAGACATTGATGTTTCCAAAAAAAATTCGAATAGGATAGATTTGAACGTTCTCAATAGAATCATTAAGCAGAATGCAATATCCAGAGAAAATCTTACAGCAGTTAACTACTATCCAGATAATTCAATATATTCTGAATTCGATTATTAACAAAGTTACTGGGAAAAAAGTATGAAAAATGACAGATTTGATTTTTTATAAATTCTCCTACGGCACCTCAAATTCATTTGAGTTTTTAGATACTTATATTGAGTTATTCTAGACATTTTGGCGAAAGATTGATGAACGCACATCGATTATTAACAAAGTTATTGGGAAAAAAAGTATAAAAAATGACAGATTATATTTTTTATAAATTCTCCTACGGCACCTCAAATTCATTTGAGTTTTTAGATACGTATATTGAGTTATTCTAGATATTTTGGCGAAAGATTGATGAACGCACATCGATTATTAACAAAGTTACTGGGAAAAAAGTATGAAAAATGACAGATTTCATTTTTTATAAATTCTCCTACGGCACCTCAAATTCATTTGAGTTTTCAGATACGTATATTGAGTTATTCTAGATATTTTGGCGAAAGATTGATGAACGCACATCGATTATTAACAAAGTTATTGGGAAAAAAGTATAAAAAATGACAGATTATATTTTTTATAAATTCTCCTACAGCACCTCAAATTCATTTGAGTTTTCAGATACGTATATTGAGTTATTCTAGATATTTTGGCGAAAGATTGACGAACGCACATCGATTATTAACAAAGTTACTGGGAAAAAAGTATGAAAAATGACAGATTTCATTTTTTATAAATTCTCCTACGGCACCTCAAATTCATTTGAGTTTTCAGATACGTATATTGAGTTATTCTAGATATTTTGGCGAAAGATTGATGAACGCACATCGATTATTAACAAAGTTATTGGGAAAAAAGTATAAAAAATGACAGATTATATTTTTTATAAATTCTCCTACAGCACCTCAAATTCATTTGAGTTTTCAGATACGTATATTGAGTTATTCTAGATATTTTGGCGAAAGATTGATGAACGCACATCGATTATTAACAAAGTTATTGGGAAAAAAGTATAAAAAATGACAGATTTGATTTTTTATAAATTCTCCTACGGCACCTCAAATTCATTTGAGTTTTCAGATACGTATATTGAGTTATTCTAGATATTTTGGCGAAAGATTGATGAACGCACATCGATTATTAACAAAGTTATTGGGAAAAAAGTATAAAAAATGACAGATTATATTTTTTATAAATTCTCCTACGGCACCTCAAATTCATTTGAGTTCTTAGATACGTATATTGAGTTATTCTAGATATTTTGGCGAAAGATTGATGAACGCACATCGATTATTAACAAAGTTATTCCGAAAAATATATCAAACATGACAGATTTGATTTTTTATAAATTCTCCTACGGCACCTCAAATTCATTTGAGTTTTTAGATACGTATATTGAGTTATTCTAGATATTTCGGCGAAAGATTCATGAACGCACATCGATTATTAACAAAGTTATTGGGAAAAAAGTATAAAAAATGACAGATTATATTTTTTATAAATTCTCCTACGGCACCTCAAATTCATTTGAGTTTTTAGATACGTATATTGAGTTATTCTAGATATTTCGGCGAAAGATTCATGAACGCACATCGATTATTAACAAAGTTATTGGGAAAAAAGTATAAAAAATGACAGATTATATTTTTTATAAATTCTCCTACAGCACCTCAAATCCATTTGAGTTTTTAGATACGTATATTGAGTTATTCTAGATATTTTGGCGAAAGATTGATGAACGCACATCGATTATTAACAAAGTTATTGGGAAAAAAGTATAAAAAATGACAGATTTGATTTTTTATAAATTCTCCTACGGCACCTCAAATCCATTTGAGTTTTTAGATACGTATATTGAGTTATTCTAGATATTTTGGCGAAAGATTGATGAACGCACATCGATTATTAACAAAGTTATTGGGAAAAAAGTATAAAAAATGACAGATTTGATTTTTTATAAATTCTCCTACGGCACCTCAAATTCATTTGAGTTTTTAGATACGTATATTGAGTTATTCTAGATATTTTGGCGAAAGATTGATGAACGCACATCGATTATTAACAAAGTTATTGGGAAAAAAGTATAAAAAATGACAGATTTGATTTTTTATAAATTCTCCTACGGCACCTCAAATTCATTTGAGTTTTCAGATACGTATATTGAGTTATTCTAGATATTTTGGCGAAAGATTGATGAACGCACATCGATTATTAACAAAGTTATTGGGAAAAAAGTATAAAAAATGACAGATTTGATTTTTTATAAATTCTCCTACGGCACCTCAAATTCATTTGAGTTTTTAGATACGTATATTGAGTTATTCTAGATATTTTGGCGAAAGATTGATGAACGCACATCGATTATTAACAAAGTTATTGGGAAAAAAGTATAAAAAATGACAGATTATATTTTTTATAAATTCTCCTACGGCACCTCAAATTCATTTGAGTTTTTAGATACGTATATTGAGTTATTCTAGATATTTTGGCGAAAGATTGATGAACGCACATCGATTATTAACAAAGTTATTGGGAAAAAAGTATAAAAAATGACAGATTTGATTTTTTATAAATTCTCCTACGGCACCTCAAATTCATTTCAGTTCCTAGATATGTATATTAAGTTATTCTAGATATTTTGGCGGAAGATTCATGAACGCACATCGATTATTAACAAAGTTATTCCGAAAAATGTATCAAATATGACAGATTATATTTTTTATAAATTCTCCTACGGCACCTCAAATTCATTTCAGTTTGTAGATACGTATATTGAGTTATTCTAGATATTTTGGCGAAAGATTCATGAACGCACATCGATTATTAACAAAGTTATTGAGAAAAAGGTATAAAAAATGACAGATTTAATTTTTTATAAATTCTCCTACGGCACCTCAAATTCATTTCAGTTTCTTGATAGGTAAATTAAGTTATTCTAGATATTTTGGCGAAAGATTCATGAACGCACATCGATTATTAACAAAGTTATTGGGAAAAAGAGTAATTCTGGAAATTTCAAATAAATAATAAAAAATAAAGACCTATAACTAAAGTGATCAATTTTCCACTGCTCTTAAAATGGTTGTAGCACTTCATAGTCTATCGGGAAAACGTAACAGGGAAAATACTGCTGAAATATGAATTTAAATAACTGTGGTGGGGAAATTCATGGCTGAAAAGCGTGGCTGGGAAGTTTGGCAACGTTGCATGCGAAATATCCTCCATCCCAGTATCGACAGTCTACACGTCATAAAGCGTGGCTGGAAAATCGTGGATAACTTCACATAAATGACCAATAGTACCCCACAGAATATAAAGTTTGTTAACCTTACACCAAGGTTGAAAGTGAGATTCACTGATCATTACCCTTTGAGTCAAATAAAAACAAAATATGTACTATTCGTACCCGATTCCACTAGAGTTACATCACGGCAAAGCTTACAGATATTGTTGAATGAGCTATTAAAAACTCCAAGAGGAATAGTTGTTGCACCTGTAAATAACTACAGGAAAAACATAACTTGTCTGAGAACTAATGTAAATATTCGAGAGTGGACATTGAAGTATGGATTGGTTAATGGTCTAGAATGTGATGAGATATTAGGGAAGCATGTGATGCTTATTGAAGCAGAAATCTTAAACATGTTATCAAATGTCTTCCTACTGCCTTTCCCCCATTCATTGTACATTCAGACTGCAAGTATAGGTCTGAAGGTTTGTTTTATAGATCTGTTTTGTTGGAGAACTCTTTCATTTTGTGTTCCCACATTTATTGGTGAATGTTAAAAGATAATTATTGTTTTCTGTTTTATTTTTGTAGTGCTAGTGCATTTTTGGTTTTGTAGGTAGGTTTCAATTTCAACTTCATTCTAATTTGTTTCATATTATTTTTTATTTTTGAAAACAGATTACTAATCAATAATTATCTCTATTTTCAGATCAAAATTATAAAGGGACTAACATTTCATGATGGAAAACCAGTCTTAAGGTCTCACCATGCTCAGTGGAAACAAAAACAAACTGACCTCATGAGACAAAAAGAACTTTACAATCTCTTCAAAATAAAGCAGGTGATCCATGAAACAGGTACAACTGAATGGTATGGTTGTACTAAAGAAACAACTAGTTGTTTTGGTCCAGTTTTGGATTCCATGCCTTCTTACCTTTATGAGAAAAAATGGACACCTCCCTGCTGTTTGTCAAATTTGAAAAAAACTGCAAGGCATGTATTTAATATAATGGATGAATCTGGAATACGTTATTGGCTAGAAGCAGGCAGTTTACTTGGGGCAATGAGAAGTGGGGATGTATTGCCTTGGGACCATGACATAGATGTAGGTTTCATCAGAGAAGATCTGCAAAGGTGTATTTGGTTGAAGAAAGCCAAAGATAGACCAGTGGATGACACCAATGGATTCCATTGGGAAAAAGCAACTGAAGGTAATTTCTATCGGGTCCATTTCAGTAGGAGCAATAAAATCCATGTGAAGTTGTTTCCATTCTACTCAAGGAATGGAACCATGTCTAGAGATTCTTGGTTCACTGATCATAAGAACATGGAATTTCCTGAAAACTTTCTACATCCCATGTCCAGTATTGACTTTATAGGTAGAAGTGTACCAAGCCCAAATAATATAAGAGATTTCTTAGAGCTCAAGTTTGGAAAAGGAGCAATTGAAAATCCTGAATATCCTGATCCCAATAAGATGAAATTTCCATAATTTTTCATTTTCAAATTCTTAATATTTCATCTTGGAACATTAATTGATGTCTTTCTAATAATACAGTATTTTTATTGATCCCTGATACTCACTGCTGTGTGATTGGAATTGTATGATTATGTTGCCATTCTAGAATCTGGTTTTCAATTATTCTTTCATTATTTTATGATAGGTATATGGGAAATATGTTGCATGACCTTCAATAATGTTATCTATAATGAAAATATGAAAACGAAAATTCAAATTTGTTTCCATTTAACCGAATTCAAATTTGTGTCATTCCCATTATTCCCTCTTGGTCTTTCCTATTTAATCTAAGTCAATATATACAGTCTGTCCCCCATTATTCCCTCTTGGTCTTTCCTATTTAATCTAAGTCAATATATGTATAAATATATATTTGGAATATAAGTAGATAATATATTTGATAATTCTTTGCACATATTATGATATTACCTTCACCTTGTCTAGAAAGGCAAATAATATTGAAGTTAGGTGTACTCATATCAGTTGCTTCCAATGAATATATGGTTGATGCACAATTGGTTGACAGAACTCCATAATGTTGTGTCTTTTTTCTTCTTTAATTTATTTCTGGGACACCCTATATCCAAACACATTGCAGTTGAGGTTTCAGTTCAGTACATAATCTAGAAGGGGTGTTTGACAGTATCTTCAAATATACATTCCTCTGATCATGAACTGTGGTAGATCATAGTAGTGTTATAATTTTCAATAGATTGAGTTACAATATTTTGATCTGATGTGACCTCGGTCCAACTCTGATTCTTGCTGTAATCTGGTCATCACCAGAGATGGTGTTTTTTTGTCCTCCTCCGCTACGCGTCGGGAGATAACACAACCTCAAGCCAAAATCTAATACTTTTTTTCAATTGTATAATAAATAACTATTCCTAGATAGAAGCATGCTACATGCTACTTACCTATATTGTTTTTGTTCAGTCATGACATAAATGACCTATGTAATACGAGTATATCAAATAATTCTTACATGTATTTATGATGATCCACCATTGGAATAGGGCACACTTATAGCTCTTGGGGAAAAATTTTTTTCTTATACTGCTACATTCATTCCATAATATGCGTTTTCGTACAGAATTCAGTTGAGATAATTTGGATACTTATCATGATTTGTAACATAATGATAATTTTATACCATATTCCATACGATTTAAGTGGTAGAGGCATGGTCGTAAATTTAATTCGGTGTGAACTGGGGTTTGAATAATTGTGATTAATAGTTCTATAAAATTAACTAAGAATGTTTGCATCGCATCTTCAACTTAAATATTGTATAGTTCTATTAAATATTCTATCGGAAATATTTGGTTTTGAAAGAGGGTGGAACAATTAGGTGGACCATTTGTCATCAGTTCAGCTAAGAACTTACTTAAATTCATGTTGATATCAATATACATTTCACAGCAAATAATTTGTCTTTGTTAAATTTGAATATAATCGTGATATACACTTGTGCCAAAAAGGATAGTAAATGTTGATCATTATTCAGTTTAAATTCAATTTCTTGTACATATTTTTATCATGTTAATAAAAGTGTTGAACCAATATAATATTTTTATTTATGATTCCTCTGTTCCAGCTGTATCTTCTGGAAGCGACAGGATAACAGGTTCCCTGACCAGTGATAATAATTTATCCAATTTCATACATTGCAAGGTCCATTGATCCAAGTGCTGCTGCTTCTTTGGCGCTTTGCATGGTATCCTCAGATTAGGAGACAACTTTAAAGTTGTAATGCAACCTCTGAAACGAAGTTTAAGTATGGAGAATATCTCTTTTTCATAATATTGGTCCTTACTTATCATCTCCAACGATGATAATCGGTAATTTGGAGTTGAAAGATATCCTCGTGAGTTTATTCTTCCTTTTCGAAACTACTGCTTGTACACATATTGGCTTGTATTTGTTTATGTTCAAATCGAAGACAAATACTTTTCCTTCTGTTGTTACTGCTGCGAACACTGTGGAGGAATATGGTGCCCATTTCACATCTCCTACTCTGTCTCCGACATCAAAGACGAAAAGAGGTTCCCTAAGTGTACAAAAAAATGTAAAATATGTCTTACTAAAGGTCGAATTACTAACAATCGATTGTCTTCCCATATCTTTATCCTCCAATCTGCACTGCAAGATACGAAAATATCTGTGTTGTATTTATTGAAGTCAATACGATATACTGGCATTTGATGAGCTGCATATGTCATCAAATACATAGAGCTGTAGGCAGTGCTACATTTGTATATCAATCCTTCTTCGGTACCAACAAGGTAGACCAAAGGCTTCTTGGGGTGGAATTTCACGCATGAAGCACAACCTGTAATTCAAAGTATAGGTAGCTACTCAATGAATGTTATGTTGGTGCCTATGTATGACCAAGATGAAAGATGAGGTTGCACAGCATGGGGATCTCGGAAACAGGACGAGATACGAATTCGGCAAAATTCAATCTGTTTGGTGACTGACGAAGTCTCAAAATTTCAGAATGAAATCTATTGAGGTTATTTGATAATTTCAATGGATGGAGCACGTGCACAAAAATTTTGGAGTTGAATAGAATTTTATTGTTTTGTTAAAAAATAGGCGCAATGCAAAAGTAACACACCTTTTACTTTCAATAGTGTTCCATCAGGTCCAGAGACTGCATCTTTCGCCATGAACAACGTTATAATAGTGGTGACAGCCAAATTATTTTGCATCAACACCCAATTGTTGATTCTCCCATCTGCGGCAACAGAGAAGAAGTTCAGTTCTCCATCTGGCAGATCAGGAGCCCATTTTACCTATGAATGGAAGATATTATTACATCAAGCTATTTTACGGTCGCTCAACTCCTGCATAATATATAATGTGTCCCAGCTAATACTCAACTCTAAAATTGTTGAAAAACTGAAGGTTGCTCAGACCTATCGGTTATATCATATCGTGAGAGAACTCTTTCACCAAAAACGTCATCATCCCCGTCATTTCAATAGCAGAAACGCTGCAGAATTCTCAATTGTAATACATCATTTTGTACAGATACATATCGGTGTAATGCAATTGAGAATCAATCAAGTATTTCAGAAGTTTTAATAAAAAATAAGTGTAAATTAAATGTTGTCATCATTGAAAAGTTCAACCATGCATATATTACCATGAGACGTTCAAGAGAATTTCAAAATGTATTCGCACATTTTCCAATTGAATTAACGTGAATCCTCAACAGAGCATGTGAAGTAGAGTTTTTGCCTTCATAATGTTACAGTATAATTATTATTGGGAGGTGGAAACTCATGATCTTGAAGATGTAGTCTTGTAGTGCTTTCGGGTTAATCATTTCGTAAAAAACATGAAGGTTCCACACTGTTTGAAGTTATTATGTAAAGCAAAAATTACGTCGATTTCACTCACTGAATCACACTGAATTACTCACTGATATTTCTACTATTAGGATACTGATATCAGTGACAGTGTTGCCTTCTAACGGAATACTTTTATCCTAAGGTATTAGCAAATGTATCTGAGATAGGAGCAGGCTAAGCTGGACATGATATTTTCTTTGTAGAGCAATAGTTTCCATATATCCTTGCCGCGAATAATTATCGTGACGTAGGTATTTTGGTTTAAAAATCAATATAGAAATCGATTGATATGTGGTATAGTATCTGGGAATTCACTTAGATTGCAATCTCAAATGGAATTAACAAATTGATGAATTCATACAAAAACTAAGGAATACATATAAATTCAGGTTACTGAGAAACATTGTTAGTCGTAAATTGATTATGAGTTTCTATTATGGTCTTTTTCAATCTATTTTGGCCTATGGAATAATAGGTTGGGGAGGTTTATATAAAAAAGTGTTGAAACCACTTATATCAATTCAAAAGTATAACTTGAAGACATGTATGCTATTTCCAAAATAAATATGAAAATAAAAAATAAATTAAGAGAAAATTTTCAGAAACGGTGTGAAATCCATTATGCGCACATCTGTCTAACAGTGAGCGTTGTTCTCCGAAACTAAGATGTTGCCAAATTTCACCGTTTCTTAATACTCCTTTACTTATATGTAATCGATTCGATACACAATCTGTATACCTGCGAAACAACAATAATACCTTATTCCGTATCAATATAGCCTAGTTTCTGTGAACCATATAATAATATAATAAGTGAAAGGAGTCATAAACACGAAACTATAACTGATGAACTAGTGTGAATACTCAATGATATAGGTAATTATTCCTGCTTGGTCTTGGTGCTATATAGCGGTGACTGAAATGTTAGTTGTGGTTGGTGGCACAAATAATGATGATGCATATTTGGTGGAAGCGTTCCCCCTCTCGAATTAACAATTACGTCTGATGGATTTTGAGATTTTTTCACAATATCGAAAATAAGAAGGGAAACACTCTATATGTTCTTCAATAACATTTCGTGACCACCTAGAGGGTGTTCCCCACTGGGCAAAGAATTGAAAAAGATGTTTGCTGACGTTATTTCCGAAGTAGGTAACAATGATTACTTTCCATAAACACGCAACAATGTCGAATATGTCATGTGCGCCGCAATTCGAACGTCCCAGTATACAATGATACTAAAACGTTTTTCTTGCCACTACCGTGTTTCTTCCCCAGTGTTATGTCTTTATGATGTGTCGATCGTTATTTTCAAATTTCTAAAAACAATCACATTAACGACGATGTTTTCGAATCGGATAAGTAACAGATATGCTCCACGTTCAACTTCAACGAAAGTGTGAACAGAAATAGAAAAAAGCTGTAATTGTTGCGTTTTGTTTAAATACTCCAGGATGTATTTTTCAGAACACTAATAGCGCATCTGAAGCGTGAAACTGTGGTTATTATCAAGGTGGGTTCTAGAGTTCATAATGATTGTAAAAACTTCACAAACGTTGAGATTTCCACAAAAATCCTAATCACACGACATGTTTCGCTAACTTAATATGAACGTAATATAAAATAAACTAACCTTGGCTTGTCTGAACATATATATATATATCCTACTTTCCCAACCTGAAGGATCAGAATTTCCTGTGGGAAGGTTCGATAAACCTTCATATATAAGTTTAGGCAAGCCAATAAGGTTAGTTTATTTCATTGTACCAGAGTATTTCAGTGAGAATCTCATGTTTTTGTGAAGTTTTTACATTTCCTATGAATTTCCATCAAGTAACAGCCGAGTCAATTCAAGAAATTCATAATATGATATCTGTGATTCTGTAGTTTGAGATCATGAATTAATTGATGAATTCATGAATCATAACGTGACGCATTGACGCTCGAAACATCGACAGCCTTTTTTTGGAATTTTATTTTATTATTAATATTTTCTGTTGAATAGAGAAATATCTCATTGGTAATTCTAATCACTACAAAGGTATGCGGAAAAATTTATTGAATTTGGATTATTCACTTTCATGGATGTCTCGAAAAGTGTCAATTATCAAATATCAAGTATGCTACATCATGCAAATGACAGTTGATTTCAGATACTTGAAGCCGAGTTTGGAGTCCTATGCTTTTGATTTGAAAATTCTAATCATGAGAGGCAAAGGAGAAAAACAAATCCTGGAAAAATTACTATCAAATAAGTGAATTAATTAATTTGATGAAGTGGATAATATGAAGATGAATGGAATATGAATGATAAACCTATACGTGAAATAAATATAGTATATTTTAATATGATAGAATATCATTTTATGACAAGATTAAATATGTTGGGAATATTTTATTATACTCAATGCTTTGATATGATTTGATATTGTTTCACAGGGTGTGAAACGGGTGTTTTCTAATACTCTCTCAAATTTCAGCAATTAGTTCCACTCATAAAACTTACCAAAGTTTGGATGAAATAGTACAAAACTGTTTTATACCTATTTTGATAATTGAAATTGAACACTTAAGTTTGTAAAAGAACTAGAGAAACGCCTAGTGAGAATGAGTAACAAATATGACTACAAAGACATGGAACAATAACGTAAGAATAGGTAGTGAAAGTTTTGAATCAATAACGTCAACAAAAGGTACGTTAACATGCCTTCGTCAGTTGAAATAATAGTTACGTTAATGTAATGATAATTGGAACATAAAGGTTACCTTAATATGATGAACTTTGTGTAACGTAAAGAGGCTTTTGTTAGGTTGAAGGACATTCAACGTTACTGGGAGGAACTGGATACTTCATTGTGCCCTATATCATGTAACATGTAAGCAAGAGGTTACAAGAATGTGATGAAAGTGGTATGATTTTTTGCCCAGTGGGTCTCTATTTGCGTTGGTAAACAATAAAAATCAAGTACCTCCCAGACTATACCTCTATGTTTGTTAGTCACATTGTCGCTTCTGTACGATGCCTCTTTGCAACTTGCTTGAACATTGAAAACTTCCACGCTGCCATCATATAACCCTATGACGACCATGTTGGGATATACAGGATGGGTATCAGCGCACATAACTGCAGACTCCGTCATGCAGATGTAGTCGGGGAACGAAGGGTTCTTCAATGTGAAGAGGCAAACAGCACCTTGTTGGATCGGCTTCATATAGTCCACTAAAAATAATCTCTAATTTAGATTTGAAAAAATACATCCCAGGAAGAAACCCTCCCTAATAGCACACAAACGTCCTAGGGACGTCCCTATTTGGCACAATTCAAGTCCGAATGTCCCGGACCAAAAATAAGTGTCCTTGGGACGTTAACCCGTACATATCATGCGCACTGTCCGAGCAAGGACGTTCGTGGAATGTTCCAGCAGGTACATCATTTCAAATCTAGAAATAGCGTCCCTTAGACGCCCCACGTGGTAAATATCCCCCATCAGGGACATGCCAAGGACGTCCTTGGCATGTCCCTGATGGGATATGATTTTGAACGTTTCTTTAGGGACATCCATAAAAAATTACACAAAATTGGTTATACAATCTCTGGAAAAGAAGTTTCACATGGCAGCAAATTAGATTGACTGTCTTGGATGAAATCCTGAACTATCATCCGCGGCAGTCAATCTACTACTTTGCAGTTTGTGAAACAAATAACTATTATTGGAGAATCCATGGTCGATTTTTATTTTTGGATAACAATTTTTTCTTATAAAAATGTTCAATCCCCTCTCGACCTCCAGTTCTACAGATCAACCCTTTCAGAATATTGCAATGAAAAGAAAAGTTTAGTTGAAACTTGTCTGAAAGGTTTTGAAATTCTTGATACAGCCATCTTTTTTTATTTATCTGGTATACAATTTGAAAATTTCGATTGAGTTGTTGAAAAATGTTATATACAAATATATATTTTCATCATTATAGAGATACAGATATTCCATTCCATCATAGGTTTCCACATTGCTTAATCATTTATACTCATTATTACTACTTAGGTATATTGGAAGAAATGAAACGTGTATTTGATTCAAACTCGTACGGACATCAACGACCCAGTTATGATGATTATTCCAAAAACAATTTGTTGGTAGGTACACAGAACAATAACACAGAACGCGAGTTACCATGGTAACGTTGATTCCATATCAATGATATTCCTCACTGAAAGCATGATGTATTTCTATCGTGCTTGAATCGTGCATGGATTACATTTTGTATGTATTTCGGGCGTACCTTTGCTTTTACAAACCTAGGCGTGTTGATAGCCATCGCTATCGCTACGGTCCATAAAAACCTATTTTATGCCATTGACCCTTGATACATAATTAACTATATCGTTTCAGATGAACAATTCAAAAAAGTAAAGTTTACAACAGATCGTTAGATAATGCCGTTCTCAATACATTTTTCAAACGATTCGATCAAACGTTGAAAAACGAACCATTATGAAGTATTATGGGAATTCACCTCAGAAAAGTAGCATCGAGTTCATCGAGTTCATCATCATTAATATAGGTTTAACATGATACCATTGTTGGATCCACCCGTCAAAATAGCAATTTGAGGCTTCCTATTCCTTCTTCAAATTTGATAAAAAACTCAATAATATATAGTGCTGTTAAGCTTTATAACCATCTGGACATAGGATCAGTTGATTTTTTCAGACATTCGGTGAAGTTGATTCTTGTAGAAGAGGCATTTTATGATATTCAGGAATATCTAAATCAAACTAGTAGATAGTAGTACTTCTCGTTCTTGATGACATATTATTATGTAATGTGTCTTGTCTATATATAGTTCGTTTTAGCTTGTTAGTTTATTCATATGTATATATTTGATTTTATATGTAACTACTTTATATTTTATATATGTAAAAATTTTTACGACTTTGTCAATGAGATATAAATCTTCGGACAATAAAGCATATTTTGATTGATTGATTGATTGATATTGAACAACCTACAGGTAGTTCGAAGATTTGTACGATCAAAATGTGAATTCGAGCTCAATGATATACTTACAGAAACCAAAACACACAGCAAACAGATCGTAGTAATTAGGATTCCACGCAATATCTGTCACAGTATTTTTCTTGGTCTTGTCATAGGTGAATTTCCATAGGGGTAGTAGTGTTCCTACCTCTTCACGAAATTCGTCTGAAGGATCATCCCAATATCTGTAATCTGAACAACCAGAGTCAAAAAACCAAATGGCCGACGTGAATAGTTACGCATATTTGCCTTTTGCGATATCATCATAGGTGTTTTGGTTGACCATCCTCTCCAAGACTTTCCAACATTCATATACCCTTCCCTGTACTGCTTCACTGAGCTGTGATTTTCCTGTTACCTTTTTAACAACTGGTCTTCCTACTGCCATTTTATCCTTTTCTCTTCGTTCTCGTTCAAGTTCTTTCTCCAATTGTTGCGCTTCGTAATCTTGTTGGTATCCATCGTAGATTATCCATTGGAGGACATTCGAAGAAAAGGTGGCCATAGGAGGCGGAATGGTTTGAGTCTCTTGGCCCTCAGAAGGAAGAAAGATCGATTGATTTCAAGAAAATTAGTGAAATATTTTATAAATACCCTTGTTGGATTATTGTAAGTCAACGCTGCTCTCTCACAGAAATTGAATTGATTCGTCAGCTTCCTAGGTCTGCCTGTTGTTTTTGCAGGTGCTTTGGAGGTCGCCGTTTTAGCTCCCACGTCTGCCTCTACTTCTCCTTCTTCATCCTCCTCGGCCTTTTCTTCTTCTTTGTGTTCGGTTTCTTCATCTTCTTCTTTACCTTCCTCTTCTTTCGGTTCTTCTCCTTCTTCTTTCGAACCTTCTGATAATGTTTCGGGTGGTATCGATAATTCTTCATCAGCATCATTATCGAGTAGATTATCTGTTGAGTCCTTGAGAGAAAGTGCTAAAAAGTAATGTTGAGTATTTCACAGAAATAAGGAGTGTTTGATTTCTAACGGTCTATTCCTTGCTCTATCATTTGCTGATGAGCTTCTTCCGTATCTTTATGAAGGAGTGTTCCTTGTGCTGCAAATAATACCACGACATTGCCCTGTGATGGTAGAGGTTTGAAAGCCCCTTCAGCATAGTCAAATTCAACAAGGCTGTCAGGTAACTGAGGGTTTGTTGTAGTCAGTACTTTTGTTATTATCTCTTTCAGCTCCTGTAATGAATAGAAGTGATTCAGTATTGAAGACTGTTTCTAACAATGATATTGCATACTTACTCCCTCGGTCAACTCTAGCTGGTCTTTAGGTTTCAGCAGCTGCTTGGATTTTTTCCATTCATCGAGATCATCAGCTACTTCAACATCTCGCTTGACTAATCGTTTCTGTGAAAATAAAATGTCAGAAAATCATATATAAATCAAATCAAATCAACACAATGTATTTACCCCAGTTTTTGGAAGAGATGTCTTATGTTTAGCATTGGTTCCAGGCGGCATTTTATGAATTTAGTGAGATTTTTTATGAGTTGACTGATGAATAATGCCAGTAATGATGAAAGAAGCTAATGTCAGACATGTCAGTAAATATATTGCAGCTCCTTGTTACCTAGCAACTTAATTTTGTCGATAAAATGGAAAGATTTCTATGGAAAGCTTAAGAATGACATCTTTAGATAGTTGAAACCTCAGTTGAAACCTACATCGTGCTATGGATATACGTTTTCGATAGTTTCTTAGAAGTTAACAGACATTTGCTGAAGTATTCAAGTTTGTTCCAAACTTCAAACTTCATAATATATACACATATCATTGCGAATGCGTAGATAACATTTCCCGTAACAAATGCTGAAGTCTGCCAGATAGGTATTGATTTTTATATCCATTTGGGTATATCTACAAGCCTCACAGCGTAATGTTTGGATGAAGTCAGTTGTTAGTGAGCTCTCCGTATCAAACAACTGACATATAACCCAGAATGATGTGAAAACATAAGGTTGATATCAGTATTAAACAATTATATACAACACCTATTGTTCCTCTGACAAGATGTGATCGCTGTTTTTTATCATGACACATTTTGACAACGTTGAAGCTGTGATGGAAGATAGTGGTATAGATAGCGGAGATCACAACAATGGAGATCCTGTCTGTAAACCAGGGGTATGTATTTTTTCAATATTCCTCCATTGTTTCTGTTACTTCGCTATTATTCGTTTGCCAATGAAGTCCACATCCTGATGCCTAATGAGTTTGAACGAATTTGAATGATTGAAAATGAAAAATGTAAACCATTAATTTTTTTTCATTTCGAACGTTATATTGTGTAGGTATTCGATATGTCGAATTAGTTTTCTTCACTAGCTTCACAGTGATAATAAGTGAGTATATTTGATCTGTTCTGAATAAATAAATTATTAAATCATTAGGTATGAACCGAACTTTATTTTCAAGGATATATCTGAGTGACATATTTTTGAAAGTTCCAAACGGGCTTTATGTTGACTATATTTGTGAACAACCGGTCGGAAACTGACTAATAATCGGTTATAATTGCACGAGTGCATAAAATTACCGATATTATCGCAAGCAAGTGTGTTATCTAGTAATTGCAAGTTTATTTTCATATTTTGGCGAAAGAGTCCGAGTCCGGAGGTATCAATAGTAAGCGTCGTAATAATTTTTCTAGAATTTTTGGTATTTTTTTTTCTATCACGAGAATATAATAATGTTTGAACGAAGTGTGTATACACTTATCAGTTCATAGAAGAATTCATGAGATACATGTTGTTTTTTGATTGATCTTGAATTTACCATCTTCATATACTCAGATCCTTTGGAGTGAATATCATATTCTATCTATATTCAAATTAATGCTTGCGAATTATTCGATTTATTTTTTAGCCGTTATATGTTCTTGCTCTTTTGATTTTAATATCATCCCAGCAAACATTGAACCAGCGGGAGAAGTCCGGCCTAGTGCAGGTTAGTCTGGGAAAGTGACGATGCCGGGGTATAGGTAATGGGCCGATGATTTTCCCATGCCAAGTAACCATCAGTTAAAAATACGATGATGGCCTTGTGATGGTAAGATGTCTGGAACTAATTGAATACTAACGAGATCTGGCCCTTTGCTGGCCAATTTCATATTCACTACCCGTCCCCCTGGCGGATGTTTTGGAAACGTCTACATCAACAATCAGCTGATCAATATCATATGTGACTAAGATGGCTGACTCTCGTGAGTAGTGATCGCGTACTAGTTTGTTTATGTCGAATTAATGTGGTCCTCTCTTTCCGTGGTGGTTATTTATGATGGCAGGAGTATTCTCAATTGATAATAATAGAAGACAGTTTCTTCAATTATGATAATATTGAGTAAGTATCAATGTACCTACATAGTGTTTTGAATGTCATTATTTGATGCATGTGTTTGGTATCTCGTAACCTCATATACCTAATGATTATGATAATTGGAGTTAACTATACTTCTCTAAAAGCAACCATCATTTTTAACTCGTTTGTTATGCTATCAAAAGCAATCTCAGGTCATGTGAACCTATCTCTAAATTGAATAACTGAATAACAATAAGATTTCAGCTGCAGACTTACCTGTGCCAACACCATAATGAGAATTGAAAAGCTCCATGTTATCACGTCATTTGTCTATATTATCAAGTTATAAACTCATGCAACTCATAGGCACCTAATATAAAACAAATGATGCATTTTATATTTCAGAAGTACCTCACAACGAAGAATCAACTTCGAAGGAATGCTTCCCAATAAGATGTAGATTTCACACACCAACCAGTAAGCAGTCACTCCGAGAAGTTTCATCGTCATTTATTAAATTTGTTTTCTTGAAATCTGGTATGTGTCTGATTCATGATCAGAGGGTTATGTTGTGAAATAAAGAGGTACTAGAACTTTCAGATCCATTGGACCCCTAAAACCCCTACCTCGATAGTATGTAACCAATGTCGTTAATTGGCCATTACAGTCCCATCATTTATGTATATGCTGGGCTTGCTATGGGAAACTCAATGTGTCGATTATGTTGTACTGGCCTTTTGCCGGGGAACTGAATATGATTGCTGGGTACCCAGCACTGGGACCAGCTGCCGGCCGCAGTGTACTGATATATAGAGTCCCGCATATGGGACCATTCACTGGGCCGCTGATGTCAGGTATGGGAAAAATATACTAGGCCATTGATTCCCCATATCAAGATGTTTGCTGGGATCCCACATGTTGTCCATTTTCAGTTAGGATGCGTTCAGCTGAATTTGATTTGTCGATATATATCCATGTCTCAAACTGAAATGCTTTATGCAACTGGCTCTTAATGTTTTTCTTTCGTCCTTACTGAGAGAGGTATTTTTGTTTCACCTGTATATCAATTTCCACAACTACAAAATATATTGATTACACGATTGATGATTGTACTTTTATCTTTTAGTTTTATTCGAGTATAAATTGATATTGTTTTCATTGTATTTTGATTTAAAACCTCGTTTGAAACTTATCACTATGATAATACTAGGATAATACGGCAGAGTTGAATGTATTGAATTCATGGGAATAAGATGAGATAACAACCAAAAAAGAAAATTTGAAGAATCGGCAATTGCATTTTTCTGAACGGAGGCAATAAACATTGTTTCCTGTTCAATTGACAGAGATATAACATGATATTCACTACTATTGAGATCTGAGTAGGTGAGTAGGTAGAAAGTATATTCAAGATGACATTAAAAACAATCTGTAACACCTACATTTTTCCATTTTTCCAACAACGTCAGTCACTGGGTAGTGTCAGTAAGCAAAACAAAATAAATTATAGCAAGCATATTTTTGAATTTTTTTGTTGAAAACGAGAGAAGATCCGCATCCAGAGCACTTAGGTTTTCTGATAGTGAAATATTTAAACGCAGTGACATTTTGAGGCAATTCATCTGATTGTTCATCATGATCACTCACATTTATATTGGTTAAAACGAGGAAATAAAATTCCAAAGAATATGGAGAAATGAATATTTCACCTCCACGATATCGATCTGGGGGGTATACTGAACCAAAATCGGTTTCGAAACTTCTGAAATCTCGACAGAATAAAACCATACAATGCAAAATTTACATAAAAACCCAACAATTTGGTAAAATATCAGTATACTTTTGTGGTATATAAATATCTGCAACAGACTACCAAACAGAAAAAAATCCGAATAAAATCTATCAATCCCGTCACAAAATCCAAGAGGAAATACATTTTATCGATTTGAATCTCTTCTTTATATTGATGAGTTCCGATTTTACTGTTTATTATTGATTAGTTCCGATTTTACTGTTTATCTACCATTTTATTGGATATTCGATTCATGTTTATTTATCTATTTTTCCTTTGTTCCTCCATGAAGATGTATGTTGTTTTGGCTCTAATTTATAGATATTTTCATGGACGATGCTCTTCTGAAATATCAACAATTGTTCCTCCCTTATTGGCAGTCCCTGCGAGATTAACCCGTCGAGTTGAGGCTTCGCACCCCTTCGTGGTCACTTTGGAGACCTGCAGAACATCTCTTCCCAAAGACTCGTTCATCCAACGAACAGCGAGGCTCTGGAATACATTGCCAAGGGAGGTGTTCCCCGAGGCATATAACCTCCAGAAATTCAAGAAGAACACCAATTCCTATGGGATGTTTTTTCATTAGTAACAACTTGATTTATAGTTTTTACGTCCATGATCGACCTTTGCTATAGTGATATAGTTTCGATCTAGATGTACCTATAAATGTCACCTTTATTTCTCTTGAAATAACCTTTCGTGAATGTTTAGGATATATTGGTGAAGCACAAATGCCAACATGGAAATCGGATTACTGTGACAAATAAGCTGATATAGAGACTTCTGAATGAAAGTTGAAAAATATAAATATCATCATTACTTCAGCAAAGTAAATGAAACCATAGAGTCAGTCGACCACAAAAATTCCATATATATAATAGACATGTTTTACCAATACTAGTTTCCACCACCGCCCATCATCCGACACATGAAAAAGATGTACCTGAAAGAGATCACTAAATCAAGGACAATCGCGATGGATACAAAATAAAATAACCCCAGAAGCACCCGATGCTGAACCTGGCAATATTAAAATTCGTGAATATGGTAGAGGTCAAGAAAACCAATAAATAATGTTGTTATGGTGGTGTTTTGGATTTCGAACTCTGCCAAACCAGAACCTTGTGTAACCAATCGACTGCTAACAAATATATTATGTACTTACTTCACGTATATAAATTGAAATATTATACAGTGTCACTTATAGTCTGTATCATATGGGGAGATCAGGTTTATTCAATTCTCAAGGATGTTCGAATTGTTTTTTCAATATAAATACAACCACAGAGTGACCTATTTGTGTATTTCATTGAATCGACGAAAATACCGCACTAGTGCCAGGTATATATAGGGTATAGAAAAAATAAGTGGAACATTTTAGGTTAGTAAGCATATCAAAATTATTCACAATAATAATAGCAAATATTCATTTTTCTCCATA